AGGTCCCCTCTCAGCTGTCTCCTTTCAAGGCTGAACAGCCCCAGTTCTCTCAGTCTCTCTTTGTAGGAGAGATGTTCAAGGCCCTTGATCATCCTCCTAGCTCTCCGTTGGACTCTCTCCAGTAGGTCCCTGTCTCTCTTGACTTGGGGAGCCCAAAACTGGACACAGTATTCCAGGTGTGGTCTCACCAGGGCAGAGTAGAGGGCAAGGAGAACCTCTTCATTGTTTGCTAAAGAGAGCTCGAGAAAGCAAGTGGCGCTTTCAGGAAAACTGTTCCCTCTTTCCAAGTTCCGTGCAGTCTATGGCAAAAATGATACTTCCAGGCTCCACACTGTCCTTCCACAAAGGCAGGCAGGGTTGAATCTGGTCTCTGTGAGTACTGCTGCAGAGGCAACTCATCTTGTACAAACATTTAATGAAAAATGCATTAAAGTAGTAGAAGAGGAAAGTTAAGTATTCTCAGAACAAGTTAAGTGTTGTCACAACACATAAAATACCACCTTAAAAGCACCATTGTATTCCCACCTGTATTGCTGCCATCGTGAGAAAACTAAATATTTTAATCAATGAGGCAGCACATATTTACAGCTTGAAGGCTCTGTCCCGGACTCATGTATTTCAGCTGAGCTTAACACAGAAAGGAGTTTTGTAGAGGCAAACAAATAGGTCTGGATTAGATGACCAGGCAGCTCGCTCCTGGTATGACATTCCCACCTGCAGACAAAGGCCCGTGTACCCAGCGAAAGGCAGCGCTGGGCAGCGAGCCTCCCTGGCACACACCACGGATAAAGAAACCCTGTGATTTATCTCCAGCAGCGTGACAGGTTGCTCAGAAGCACAGCCACGGGCTCAGCCACCAGGTACGTGTTGGTGCTACCGACAGGCTGAAGTAACCACAGAAGAACAGCTGTATCTGGATGTGAAATGTTTCTGATGAGCACACCTCCTCAGTACCTTTGGGGTGGCAGAGGGCTTATCCTCACCTCCAGCGCCTGCCGCAGCCCAGTCTGCAGCGACTGGTTTCGCAGAGGAGTTAGGGCCGATCTATGTTTGCACTCCTACCAACAGTCTCGTGTCACCCATATCCTCCTACAGCGGCAGCATCTTAGAAATCACTGGTTGCTTTTTCATCCCTTACGTTTACGAAGTGACAGAGGGAATTAAAAAGATCTAGCCAAAAATATACATACACTCTCCAATACATTGATAGGATGATTTCAAATAAAAGCATGGTCCCTTGGGCTTCGAAAGCAGTGCAAAGCAAAACCTACCTGCCTCCCCTTCAGGGATGAACTTGTGGTGGCTAAGAATCTGCCAAAAAGCACTAACTCACCTCGTTTCAAGGAATCAGGTATAGTTTGGGTAAGTTATTAAAGTTCGTGAAAAGCATTAGCACAAAGCATTTTTAGGTTTATTTAAATAAAAATTATAATTTATACAAGACTTTTTAAACAAACAAGATTTTCTTAAAAAATGTACAGGGCAAATCATTTCATTATTTCAATTCTTCATACAGTATAAGTCTTCTGTCAAACAAAAGTTACACTGATAATGAATTATTTACAACTTCAAAATATAGACTCAAACTTCAGACATAAAAATTTTAACATCCATTATATTTCAATGATTAGTAGAAATTAAACATCTGCCAAAATGTACAGAATTCAATAAAAACTACCAGTGTTTTAATACAAGTTTAAGTAGCAAAAAAAAAAAAAGTACATCTTTTCATCCCTTCGCCATCGGGTAAAATCTCTTCTCTCTTTGTCTGCAGGAAAAAGGGTAGGGTTTTGCTGCTGGCATCCTGTGTGATGTTGCTACTAATAAATAGCTTGTTTCACTCAATCTTGCCTCACAAAAGCTATAGTGCACAGAAAGGCATGATTTCATATTTCAGCTTTTTTTGACTTTTGAATTTAAATGGTCATTGATTAAAGCAGTCAGTTTTCATATCCCTTTCTTTTTCTCTTTAAAAGGGACTCAAACTAACCAATGCACTTCTAAAGAAGTTAAATCCAATTACGTGTGAACGATCCAGCAATGAACCACGGACACCAACAGAATTGCAAATATAAACAGCAAACAGACAAACAGAATGACAAGAACATCACTTTCTGCTCTTAGAAAGTAGCGCTTTACATTGAGTGGTACGACCCAGTCTGTTACTGAGGTACAGCAGGCTGCACTGCAAAACTATGTAGGAAGATTGGAATTTAAGGTGAGAGCTTCAGTGTAAGTATAATACAAGTCAAGTATGTATTTACTCACTCTCCATGCCCTCCCGGCCTCCAAACCTGGGCAGGTGCAGCAGGAGGAAGAGCAGGAGTGAGGTTACCTTCTAGTGCCTCCGAAGTCACGCACACCACAGGAGCAGGTACGTAGCAGCCACTTGTACAACCCAATGTAAAGTGAACTTTGCAAAATATGTACACGGATGTTTGTCAGTTATATTACAACTCTATTTTTAAAAAAAAAATCCAGTCTGTTTTCTATATATTAGAATGAAACAACATTGCATTGCAGTTTGCACTAGGTTTTACTGCTTTAATTGCCAACTTTTAGATTCACACCGTTAAAGTGTGGGTTAATTTAAAACACCGACACGTAAGATTTTTTAAGTTTCTAATTTCTTTGTCCAGAAAAAAAATTTTAAAAGCATATTGTATGCATGAGGCATTTCAGTCTGGGAAAAGGATAACAATTTCTTTTCTCCCTCTCTGAAGCCTAGGTATGGTAAATTGTCCCGGCACCATCAGCACAGGACCTATAGCTCCTCCAGGAACCAAAAAGTTGGACAACCCTATACACTAGAGTCAACCAGTGAAGGGTGGGAGGGGGAGGAGGTAATAATAAGTGCAAGTCAACTGATTTCCTACTGAAACTGCTGTTATGATCAGAGTGAAGGTATAAATTACACTTGAAAAATGATACAAAAATAAGAAAAAGAGCATGCTCTCTGTAAAAAATATAGTTTTCTGTTTCTTTGAAAAAAAAAGGATAACCTTAAACATGCTCAAGGGATTTTTTTTCTTAAGACAAAATGAATGAATCTGATTAAGATTTATATAACATTAAGCGATTTTAATGCCTATTTGTTAATCACACCTACTAACCAAGGATGCTTCTAGAAAGGAAAGCCCAATGACAATATGCAGCAATTGCAAAAAGAGATTAATTGATTCTAAAGTAGGCTTGATGAGAAAAAATTAAGATCAAGGATTTTTTACTTGCACATAAGACCTGCATATGTAAAGTGAAGAAACACCCATATTAGATGGTGGCAAAATGGATTTTCACCAGTTTCACTTACATTTTAACTTTTCAGGCCCTGAGTTCCACAATACCCAAGGAGGTGTTAGAAATTCACTCCTTTCCGAGGTCATGTAAAAACCTCAAGTGCTGCTCTAAAGGGAGAACTCAGAAATGGCATTTTAGCCATCATGGTGGTTTCTTCCCCATTCTTGTCCACCTTTTCACCCAGGGCACAGAGTTTTACCTCTCCAGTGTTTCACTTTGAATACTGTGATTTTGTGGGGTATTGTAACAGTATTTCTTCATATTGACCTCATACTAAGTTCTTCATATCACACCTTTTCATGGTCACACTGAAATAAGGTTTGTACAGTTTGACTGTCACCTTCCTCACTAGTGCTACATTTGTTGAGAGACTTCAGTCCAAAACTGTGCTAAGAATTAAACACCCTTTAGTGTCTGCCTCCCCTCTCCCTCCTTCATTTTACCCTTTCCCCACAAAGAAAAAAAAGAAGAAAAAGGCATGAAATTAACTCCCATTTTTACATGTCAATTTGCATCTCCATTGCTTTTTTAGGGGGACATTCCCATGATGTCTGGAGACACTCATATTACTCAACTCAGAAGACATCTCAAAGGAAGAGACATACTGGAAGGCTTGGCATAACTCCCACTGTGCTTTCATGAAAATGCAAATAAAATTCTAAACCTCTCAGATGGGTGCTATTATATAGAGTATAAAAGCTTTCCAATATTAAAGACAAAGGTCAACATGTGCTTTGCTGCTAGAAAGGCCTGAGAGAGTTTAGAGGAGTACAGCCTTCCTGTTTTACCTGGCAGTTGGGTTTAATTGTCACTAAAATTTAATTTTGCGAGAGGAAAGACAGCAACATATCAATGCCCCTCAAATTATGCTCTGAAAACGAACTAGTGCTTTCAGCTGCTATAGTATAGCATTATTTTATTACAAGAGAAAAGTAGAGAAAAGCCAAATTAAAAAAAAGAGAGTAATGTCTCAGTTTAGTTTAATTATTCCCACCTCTCCCAACACAAAAAGCCTGCAAGTCTTTAATGCGTTAACATACAAACAGCTTGTACATGTAACATGTACAATAGTTGAGCCCTTCTATCACAACTATCTACAGAGATACAAATATATGATGCCTAACATTTTAGGAACAACATTTTGGTGCCCTCTTTTATAAAAAGTATCTGCCTGCCTTCCTTCCTCTTACTTTGGTTAATTAGGAAAGAAAGATATAGTTACAAACTCTCTCCTCCAATTCACTGTACAACCAATTTAAACGTCTCTGCAGGAAAAATCGAAATAACTGAATGGGTTAAATACCCTTCTGCAATGTGAGAATTAGCAAGGAGTTATTTTAAGTGCAGTTATAAATATGGAAATACTAAACTGATAATACTTCCTTGGTGTTGCTATCAGTTTTAATAAAGTACCTAATTAAAAACTCTGAGCTGAAGAAAGAGACTTCAGGCTGCTGCAGTCACCATTCTCACATCTTAGGGAAAAATAAACGTATCCCTTGAGATATCAGAGGAGTTAAAGCGATCAAACTATTTCACTTTGTCATTTTAGTCAGTTCTCCAAGTATCTTCCCAGCTTTTAATGTCAGTAAATAAACATTAAAAGTGCTTAATGTGCAAGGCTAATCGTGATGATAGCACTTTCACTGTTTTGTTGAATTTTGTTTTTTGTTTTTTGTTTTTTACAAAAATCCTAAAAACAAACATGAAGGCATATATAAAATACACTTGATTTATGTAACAGATAGAATATAAACCACCGGACAAGAAAAATTATTGCAAAATAGATGAAGATGTTCATTTTTTTCACTACCAAGTTGTAAAATAAGAAAGTTTCCTTTAGATCTTCTAAGACAAGATACTAGCTCTCACTGCTTGATGATGCAGAGGTTATTTTCACATATTGGTTGAAAATTGTCTCAAAAGCTTCATCTCTGTGTACCATGGCACCAAACACCAAAGGCTAAATGACAGAAAAAAAAAAATCATGTTAGTCTGGGAATGAAAAAAGATCTTCATCTAGGTATAGTTTTAGCCAAATGAATAGGAACAGGAGATGAACTGTACTTGAAGTGCATTAACAAAGACATAAGACTCTTTTTCTCTACTAAACTGTTGAAAATACAGCAGAGTTTCTAAGATTTGTTCACTTCTCCATCTTCTTAAAACAATCATGGCATAAAATGCACCTGCATGGAGTATTAGCAACAGAGAACACTTCAACTCTCTTTCCTCTGCATCCACTCAGGGCACGATGTTTTACTGCTTGGCCTCTGCCTCCATTAAAGATTTCTGAAATTCTTTGCCAGTTCCTCTTTGTTTTGGTTCGTAGAATATTTACTTAGGTAAAGTATTCAACTTTGTAATTAAGAAGTACTTCTCAACATCATAAAACGAGTAGAAAGCCCGGTTGTTACTTGGAGAAAAGTTATGATTAGTTTAAAATAAGGTTCAGTCATATGTTAAGAAAAACTTCAGTTGCCCAAAGGGTATGTGAGGCCCAGAGAAGCTTAAATCTTTAGTAACATGTGACTGAAACAGGGTCAGGCCCTTCCACCCCAAAGTCTTGTCACCCACAGACACTCTGAAGCCACCAGCTTTGCACTGCAGACTGCACAGCAGGGAAGCTCCCATGATCCTGATGCAGGATGCTGGGGAATAGCCAATGGAGGTAGTGAAATAATGAAGTAAATCTTCCCAAAGTGTTACAATAAACTGAATGTTTAAATTAAAAGTCTGAAGCCAAATATACTGAATCACAGACAACTGAATTAAAAAAAAACCACCAAAATCAAAACAAACCCCCTAGCATAGGAAAAAAAAAAGCTCCTATGTGGATACCAGCCAGAGAAAGAAGACAAAAGAGAACAAAATCAAGGACAGCAATACAGATACAGCCAGCTACTCACTTTTTGTGTAGATGGTGTTGATACAGCAATACCCATCCCTGATCCCGGGAGAACAGAGAGCACTTTATACTAAAAAGAAAACAAAACCACGGACCAAATATATCTTACAGAAGAACTGCAAAAGGTGCTGAGAAGGTTACACAATCCATCAATGGTTCATCCTCCCAGTCAGAACTAACAGACCCCCTATTAAAAACAAGAAGAGGCCAGACGCTGTTCTTTGACCCCGGATCCAATGGGTACAGAGAGAACCTGCCTCTCCTCTTCCTCCTGCACCAAACCTGCCTGCCCGAATCGTCCCCATATCCCCATCCCCAAACTGAGCACCCCAGTAACGCTACGGCGCACAGGAGCTGGCCCAGCCACGATGGCAGGGACCAGGCCGGCAGCCGGACGGTGTGGGCAGGTGGTGCAGCCCAGCCGTAAGTGTATGTACCCACATGAGAGCGGGCTTGTGAGGATCACTGAGAGGTTCCCCTAGAACTAACAAGCATCAGCTGTTCAAAGGAGCATCAAGCAAACCAGGAAAAGCTGCTTTTTCAAAGGTATGTATAGGTTTCATTGTTTTGGTTTAGTTTTTTCTTTGCTTTTTGTTTCGTTTTTTCTTTTTTTAAAGAAAATCCATAATGTTAAGAAGAAATACAATTGGCTGAACTGGGAAATACCCCCAAGGGGGAAGAGACTCAGAGTCTGGCCTGTGTTTCCCATCCCTAAATGAAATCAGGTAGAGTATGTTTTTATGGTTGGCTGCATAATCTCCGGCTCATTTTCATTAGAAAACCCTACACAGATGCAAAAGGATCTTTACAACAGTGAAGACCTACTATGCAAAGAGCCAGCATTATTTCAAGTATGTTTAAAATCCATCAACGTGAATTACTAATTCCAACAGCAATATTCAAGTTCACAGAATCACAGAATGCAATGGGTTGGAACGGACCATTAAAAGACATCTAGTCCAACCCCACCGCAGTGAGCAGGGACATCTTTAACTAGATCAGGTTGCTCAGAGCTCCACCAAACCTGACCTTGAACGCCTCCAGGGATGGAGCCTCCAAGTTAGCTGTAAGATCTCTGCCTTACAGACACGTGATACAAATAGAAGGAACTTGTCTGAAAAATCTCGAGGTACTTAAGCAGCAGATACGGGGCTGAAGGGTTTTTTGCACAATCATCATTTCATCTGAGGCACTCATGGCCACAGGACATAGTAGAAGGCAGGGGGGCTGCGCTTAAGAGTAGGACAAGGGCAGGTTGGATGGGGCTTTGAGCAACGTGATCTAGTGGGAGGTGTCCCTGCCCACAGGACACCAAGGCGGGTTGGAACGAGATGATCCTTAAGGTCCCTTCCAACCCAAACCATTCTACGAATCTAGGGTTCTACGACAAGCTCAGAGAGGGCAACAAAAAGTGACATTAAATGCCACAAAGACTGATGCAAGAGGCATCTATTAGTATAGACACCCAAACTGAAGTTAGTATTACACAGTTCCTGCTAACGATAAATCTTCTTAAAGCCTACACAGCTCTAGTGAATGCAGGAGTTAAGAAATGTCTCAACTTCAATTTTAAAATAATTCAGGAGTGCAAAGGCTTAGTAAACTTACCTTGGTTTTATGCTCATAGTGAGTTTGCTTGTGATGAGTCCAAATAGCTAAACAAGCAGTTCTGTGAAATACTCTCAATCAAAGAATTACATTTTACTTTGAAAAATTATCAATGGTATGCTTTTTAAAAATAACATAAACAGAAAAGCAAAACATGACTAGCTGAACAGAAAACCAGCTCTCTCCCTTACTCGCAACACAGAACAGACATACCTTCTGAATATCTGTTATATCCGTTAGCTTTATAACTTTGTTTCTTTTAGATGAGCCGGATTTGGAGCTTTCAAAGCACAAGTAACTGAAGACAAGGAAAGAAAACGCTCATTTTGATACAGTGTTATGAAACAAAGCTCTCAATATCCCTCCCATCACCTCTGAAGCTTGAAAACTCACAGGTTAAAATCAACTTCAAAAAAAAGTATGAGGCACGCAACATGCAATTCAGTTATGGCTTCTAAGTTAAAGCAAACTTTCATAAATTCTAGCAACTCGCTGCCGTGCCTGAAAGCCCAGAATGCACAGTATGCATACACACACCAGAGAAATAATCCTGTATTTATATTACTGCACTGAACAGTTAAACTTGACAAGCGTTTTAGAGAAAGAGGAAGCACATACATCCCTACACAGTTGAAATATTAAATCTCAAAAGCCTTACAAATCTTTTACCATCCCAAAAGAAGATTAATGGAAAACACTGTGTTAGTTTCATGTTACTGTGGTGCAGACAAAAGCTCAGATTTCTGAACACTGGAAAGTGCTCTCCATCCCTAGGTGACACTGCATACAGATGAGCTTTACTTCATTCATTACACTCCAAAGGAGTTTCGGTGCAACAGTAGTGAGGACAGTTATTCAGCCCTGAGAGGCTGGAGGGTAAGGATTTAAAAAAAAACAACAAAAAAACCCCATCAAGCACTAGTTCTGAAATCAAGGCTTGATTTTCTCTTTTCTTTCTGTTGCACATTGTTTCAAAGAAGCTATACATTCAGTTTGCTTTAAAAAAAGAAGCTAAGAGTATTTGTCAAATAACCATTGTACACAACTCTCCTAATACACTTACCTTTTAGGATTTTTTTAGTATGTATATAGTATGTTATCTACATCAACAACCACAGCTACTAACAACTGACTATACAGAGCTACTCTCCATTCCCATGCAAGCCTTTCTAAGGAAAAATCACATTTGTTAAGCCCCAGATTCAGCTCTCCCTCTCCCCTATGATGTTTTTTTGAGGTTTTAAAGCACTACAAAAAGGCATTTTTGTTCCAAAACACTGTTAAAGGATTACTTCTAGATGCAAATTTTTTAATGTCTGTTGCATTTTCCTCCTAAGAAACGTGTGGAGTGCAATGACTCACTTTTCTGTGACATAAAGAACTCCATTCCTGATGTAGTCTGTAGGCATCTTCCTGTCTCTGTTAATCAAGCAGCAGCGCCAGCCATTTTCACACACTGAAAAAAATCATGAGAAATCTTACTTTGAGAAAAAGAGACATGCATCACCCCCAACAGCTCCCTCATAAAACAGCAGAAAACATTGAAAATTAAACTTCAGACACCTAAAACGAGAAGTGTTTACAAAGAAAAGCCTAAATAAGGTGGGGTTAGGCATCATAACAGCTGGTTTAATATTTGTTTTTTAAAACAAAACAAAAACTACCCACACAATTATACCCCTTAACTTGACTATTCCATTTGTATTACCACAAAAGGAACACCAGGCTGCGCATTCCTTCAAAGAACTGCAAGGATGTGGAATGAAAGTCACTTGTCTCCACTCATCCCAAGTTAAAGCAAATCTTTCTAATCAAAAGCTTATACCTGTACATTGCACAGAAAGGGAATTCAACTTTAAACTATCCTTGGCTTTGTAGAAAATACTCTACTAACGTTGCTTCCTCACTGCGTCATACCTGCCAAAGGTCGCTCATTTTCTGACAGGTTAAAAACTTCATGGAAATTCCCCCTCTTGGTGGTATGAAAACGACTCGTGTCTTCATCTTTGCTTATTCCAGTTGGGGCACTTGAGCCCACGTAACTTCTGGATGCTGCTGTTTGAAGCTGCAGAAAAAGAAAACATGATGGCAAAATTTGAACAGCTGTGCTCTTAAAAATAACCTGGTTAACTGCTCTTCCTAAACAAAAATAAAAATCTGTAATGCAACAATTTTCATTAACTACTTCCATGAAGTTACCTTTGGACTACTGCACTATACTATTGCTACAGCACAAAACTCGAAGGTGCTATCTGAACGTAACCTTTCAAAGTGCTGAATGCACCTATCTTAAAACACCATTTTTCTACAGTAAAGGGTATTTCTGATTAGATACAGCAAAGTCACTACACACAGCTCCAATCACTACACTAGTGGGACTACTAACAGCTAATACATTATCAGCACTTGGCTTGTCTTTCAAGAGACAGACCAAGCACAAGATATCATTGCACAAAATAAGTTTAGAAAGGAAAAGGAGCAAACAAAGAAAAAAGCCACAGAAAAACCGCGTAAACTCATTATGAATACAAATGCTGAAATTGAAAGGAAGTTTTCCACGCTACGATCCATACCTTTTCATGCCCTGACAGCTAGCAGGAAAAGAAACAAACAACAGAAATGTGACAGTGACAAAAGAAAAAAAAAGTGAAGTCTGTTTAACAGTATAATACATAGAATAAAACATGAACTGAGTGATACCGCAAGATCCTGCTCACAAACCAAGAGACTACACACAATGAATACAATTAAAAAAAGAAGAGTTATCAGTGGTTAGAGCACACCAGTTCAATTTATTCAGGTTGCGATGCAGCCATTGATCTTTGCTTTGCTTTGAAGTTGCACTGAATTTTGAGAGCTGATAAGTGAAATAAAATCGGAACGGTTGTCAGCACTCTGGGTGGGGAAAAAAGGTAGCAGGGAGTTCTCAAAACCAAAGCACTAGAGTAAAATCTACACTTAAACAGAGCTCCTGAGCCAGTGAAGACTGCCCTAGCCAACAAGCCTTGCTTCTGGAAGGGCGGCGGGCAGTGTCTTTCGGAAAGCTTGCCTGCATTTGCTTTTTCATCTTGGTGGGGCACCACACGATTCCAAAGGCTGGCTTTTGTCACCGAAGCATTAACAGCTCCATTCTTAGTCCTACCATACACACGCAGTTAAACAACTGGCAAAGTGACAAGATGCAAGCTCAGGACTAAAGCCTTTCCTCTGTAAAGGCCCGATGCTGACGGAGGCCAACCAGCCTCTGATGCTTTTTTTCTCTCTTTTTCTTTTTTTTTTTCTGCACATAAGTTGGCAGCACTCGACACTTCGCAAGATTTAGTGCTAACAAAAGAAATCCAAAACCAATGGAAAAAATGTGCACTGCAACTGCTGACTAGAAACCAGACTGACAAAACAGACACAGCAAAGGGTATTTGCCATCCAGCTTTTAGGGTAACTGTAATACAATGATGCCTTGGAGGAAAAGAATAAAGATTAAAAAAAGTTGACATGGAAAGCAAATGGTTGATGATAACTGTACTATTGCTTCACTTCTGCAGTGCCCTTAGCAATGATCGAACCCCTGTACCCAAGGAAAATAGTAACTTATCCAACAATTCGTGTGCAAGTAAAATCAGATGAACTATTTGAAGGCCACCTTGGACAAGTTATTTGGCTCCATATGCATGCTTCCAGGTGAAGCTCCATGGCCTGAAACATAAAAAAGGTCAGGGCAAGAGTTCTAATGTTTTTTCTGCACTGGAATGAGGATTATTCCCGCTCTCTGCTACACTGATTCCAACCTACCCATTATATAAAGTGACTAAAAAAAGGTGTTTAAACTTCAGTTCCACATCCCATCCAGTGGCTAACGATGTGAGAAAGTTCTGCCTCTACTTCTAGTCCTTCCTAACACAGACAAATGTTTGCTTCACCCTCAAAAGCAGCAGCTAATTTATCCATAACCACCCAGGCTTGAGACAATCTATAGTCAATGACTAAAAGAAAAGCATTGCATCCCAGTTTGACAAGCCTTAAATCTAACTGGAAGTGATTGGATTTGTAATGCTAGAAGAGTCCTGACTGTCTAAAAAACATCACCCAGCAACCTGGAGGTAGGAATACCTGGAGGTATTCCTTTTCACTTGATCTGTCGTCAGTTCGACATACAGCCTTTACCCATCAGATATTGCTGTCAGGATTGTTCTCTAAGGACACGAGGTCAGAGCAGTGGTACAGGCAATGAATATTGCATTGTGTCCAGGTTTAGGGTGTCTTGCAGGCTGTTTAATGAGAAGAAGCCAAAGCAAATGCACATACGCTGGCCCTACATGTTTTGAAGCTCTGCCTTTTCTATGAAAAAAAACCCCAAAATAATCAAAAAACTTTTTGTTTTTTTAACTTTTTGTAAAAAAATCTCTTTTTTATATTACATGATTCCCAGAAATCTCTTGAGGGATAAGAATGCTTGTCTAAAATTACCAAGACCAAGTTAACATTTTCAGAGTCACTGGGAAGCGGATAATGTGCTCCTGCACATCCTTTCCAGGCAGACAGGCCAAGCCCATGAAGTCAGACACAGCAGCACTAAATCCCCGGTGTACTTGTCAAAACTAAAGCCACAAGAAAAAGCCAGCAAGGATAATTACTCCCTAAATTTATGAATTCTTCAGTCATTCAAAGGCTTTCTGCCTCTAATACGGATTAGAGAGACCTAGCAAGGATCTGCTGCAACCACCACAGTGAAACCTGTAAGCTCGGGAGGCAAAGAACGGTTTAAGCCCATCTGCCGGGAGCAAGAGAAGTCCAGGCTATGGATGGCTCCATCCAAATGCTCTCACCCCTTGGAAAATGCTCTCACCCCTTGGAAAATAGGAGCAAATGTCTCACTCTCTGTCAGAGACTGTCTTCTACTTTCTCCTGAAATACTAAGATTATGCTGCAGTTATTTTACCCTCAACTGCTCCATCACTCCCAGAACCCATATTTCTTGTTGTTCTTCTTCCTCACAGGTTAACAATCAAGGGTTCACGTGTTTATCCCTCCTGCTCTCCAGTTGTGTACCCGGGTGGAATTACTGCTAAGTGCTGCACATTTTAGTCAGGGAGCTTATGACAGTACTCGGATGCTCCATGAATGCACTCAGATATTGTGATAAGAGGCATTAAGCAAATGCTAAAGTGAGATTAGGCTGAAGTTTTATTACAACCATTTTTATTTTTAAACTAGTAAACATTGACAAATTCAGGGATATCAAAAAGCACAACTTGCTTTCAGTTATCATGCCAGGCCCCAAACAATGTGCAAAAAAGCACAAAACACAATACTTAAAGATTTCACTAGGAGATCTTCACAAAGAAAAATTTACTGTTGCATTCTTCACATGGTGAAGAGTCATTTATCACCACTATGTTAAAAGGTCATCTAATACAAATAACTGTAAGACATAATGCCTAAATCTGTAAAGCACTTTATTATCTCTCTTACTGCTTATCCATGAGTAAGATACAATATTATATTCAAGCCTTTTTTCTTCTTTTTTTTTTAAACTGTTCTTTAACTTATGCAAGCAGCTGAATTTCCACTGAAAAAGAATGTCTGAGAATAGATAAGGGGATTACAAGATTTAATTCTGACAATAAAACCACACAGAATGTATATTAAAGAAATTTATATGAAATAGACGGCGTTATTTTTGTACGTTTCGCTTCATACCATTTCCAGTATGTATATATTTATGTACACATTGTAATCATAGATTCCTTTCTTATAGGAAGTAGAATCCATATAAAAACTCCGGATTGTGAAAATAATAATAATAATAAAAGAACTAACATCAACTGTTACGATTTAATTAACCTTCCTTTTAATGTGCTCTAGTCACTGGGGAAAAGGGAAAGGGAGAAAGGGATCTGATTTTCAGCTGCTGGGAGTGGAGGGACAAAAAGATTTATTACCCTTACCCGTCTCGACACCGTAGCATTAGATCTTTCTTTGAGCTGAGGATCTGTTGGGAGACTTGTCCAGATGATATAAGGAGTATCATACTTAGCTCTTAGTCTGGGGCATCGTTTGAAGATAAAATCAATAAGGAAAAACTTGATTCCAGCATAGAGTCCTGAAAAAAAAAAAGGTCACTTCAGCAGACATGTTGAAAGGGTATCAAGAAATCACTGTTTTGATCATGTAACGCGTTCATGAATGAAACCAAATGCTGTATGTTCAGTGACGGTGCTCAACCATTCTCCTTGTTTCAGTACTTTGATTCTTGTCCCAATGACAGGAAATTATTTTTCTTTTCCTCTTCTGCTCAGATTCCTTCCTCTCCATCCTGAGTTCTCTTAAACCACTTATGTAGCTTCTTATTATGCAGAAGAACATGAAAATAATTCAAACATACATTCCTTATTCCCAGCATTCTGAAAAGATGCTATACTTCCAAAACAGAAAACGCGCCAGAGCACTCAACTCTGCAGCTCCTTGCAAGAATTTAAATGACAACAGAGGGCTCTCATGTGCTACATTAAACCCTATCTTCCAGTCTAGTACATTCTCTATCTTATACAGGATATTTCCTTGCATTCTGCAAAACCCTCTCAAAACTTTACTGAATGCAATTCAGATCTCTTTCTAAGTCAGAGGAAAAAAATAATTCCTCACACATCTAATTTAACTGTCACGCCAAGTAAATCTACGTTTCTGTTCAAGCTACCACAGCGCCACTAAAAGTAATATTCACTTGATAATATCATTACTTTAATGAAAAAGAAAAGAGAATTCTTGTTTCACAGGACATGGCTTCATATAGAGAAAAGGCAGTCTCAGGTTCTAGTGAAAATCCTTTCTTCCCAACTTAATCTGTTCATTTTGTGCTGCATATCCTCCAATTTTTACAAGTTGTCCCATTAACCCTTTCATTGTTTTTCCAAAGCTGTCAACTTGGTGTCTTCTCCCAGGTCTCACATATTTAATCTGCAAGGATGCATGAGCAAAAAGAACCCAAAATATAGTATTCCCTGGCAGCCTCACAGCTGTCAGTCTGAAGACCTCTACTAACAGCTCATCACAAACCTCTCCTCCTCACGGAGCGAATGCATTATTCAGTCTTTCTCTATTATATTATGCATCCAGAGATGATTTTCCAAATGCACATGACAAACAATGCCAAACACAACGAAAATACTTCAGAACACTGCATTACTTATTAATGTATGATTTTCTTTCTTAAACTCTAAAATTTTCCCTCTAAAGATCATGCTAAGATTTAACGCATTAAGTCTAGACTGTAACAGGTCAATTATTTATTGTGTTTACCCATTGCAAGTCCAATAATCCTGTAGGGCAAAAAGCAGGATGCAATAAAAGCTGCCCATAGAGTAATGTAGAGCTTCTGTGTTATTTCTGGCTGGACCCACATGAACAAGCTGAAAAAAAAAAAAAAAGAAAACAACATTTTATTACTAGTGTCCCGGGCATTGGTCAAGTCTTGTTTTTAGAGGAGAGAGACTCACATCAGATAACTTACTTTTTAATTTTTTCCAGTATATCTGCCATCTTGCCAAAAAGGTTCTGCATAAGAAGTAAGAGAATTAAAACCAAGTCCTGCATTATTATATATAGAAACCAACATAATAGAAACCAATGGAGCTATCTTACTCTGCTGATAATAAGCAATTCCCAGAAGTGATTTTTTTAAATTTTTAGTCATTTATGTACTTCACAATTGGGTAAATACAGAGCAGAACAGCAATCCTTGATGACTTCCATCTCATTTAACACTTTGTTCTGTAACTCATGACTCACTGTTAGAAACAAAGACGTTATCTGACCCCCCTGTCACAACTGGAAAGCGTTTAGTGGAACAGGCTCCCCAGAGAAGTGGCCATGGCACCGAGTCCGTCAAAGCTCAAGCTGCATCTGGAAGATGGTTTTAGTTGCATAGATTTAGGTTTAGGTAGCCCTGCAAGGAGCTGGGAGTTGGACTTGATGATCCTCATGGGTCCTTTCCAACTTGAGATATTCTATGATTCTACATCACTGCACATATTTTAAATTAAGCTGTCAACCTGAGTGTTAAGAGCTTCTGTCAGTAGGCAACAAACCGAGAAGTTCCTTCACACATTTTGAGCACTGAAATCTCAGCAAGTGCTTACTGAGTTCATCAAATGCTGGACTCAGGTTCTTTAGAAACACATCCCCACAAGGTGTTTATATGTCCTTCAAGTTACCAGATTCCACATAATTCCCACAACTGTTGATGCAAACAGGCCCCTGCTCAAGGCTGAGAGGGTTATTCAGCCATCTTCCTCAATCAGTTCTTGCTGTCACAGCACCTATAAACTTCATCCTTCCAATACATTTCCAAAGGTGTTCACAGGCACCACCCCCAGCAGAAGGAAGGAGATGAGCATACACAGTCGGCAAGAGAAAGCTAAGCTATTTTCAGCAGTGACACTTTGTCAGAGATGGCACGAGGCTGCAGTTCAACTGGAATGGGGGACTCAGCTGCTGGGGTAGCTCATCGACTCATGGAGCTGGAGAAAACCTTCCCTCACCCTCTCCCACACAAGCAGCAGATTTCAGGGCTGTGGGTGGTGGTGTTTAAAGCAGACTATTTCAAAGATGCTGTGCAAAATGCTGAATTAATGCAGCTAAACAGACAGCGAAGGAATAAGGTCCCTTAAGATCAGTTTTGCGACCAGTAGATTTGGGACATGTATCCATACTGCAGCACATTCCTAAGATTAACCGCCTGATCTACATTATCAGAAGCTCATGTGTATATATTAGGGGAAAAACTGTCAGAAGCTGCTTCTGTTCCGCTTCAGACCTCACTCAGAGCTGTGACTGGAGAACCTCAACCAGTTCTCTGAAGTGTCATTCCCTTCCAGAAGCTCCAGGCATCTTACTGACATTGCTACTGCTTGTAAGTCAAGATGCCCATGCAAGGAGAGTATTGCTTGTTGAAGTGTTTCTTTTCACATGCTGCATAACAAAGTATTTTGACCACTTGGACCATGAACCTCTTTGTTCTAAGGAAGCAGCTGGAGAGGTCCAAGAGCAGCACAGTACCTGTGCCTTCTGAGCCACGTCTAGAACAAGCTGAAACTTTTCAGACACGGTCAGGTCCTCTTTTGGGGGTTCCTTGGGCAAGAAAGAGACAATCCATTAATTTTCAGCTCACTTAAAACGGATCTTTTACAAAATCCCTTATGACAAGACCCTGCAACATTCTCAGCAAGAGTCCTCTCACTTTAAACAGTCTCTAAATTTTCCAAGTTCCTCCCTTGTTTCAGATCTACTGTTTTACGTCTTTCATTGTTGGTTATCTTTAGTTATTAATGCTTTTCCTCCATGGTATATGCAAGTAATATGAGGCTGTGAAAGGCACATTAAGTCTTTGGAGTAGCATGCTTAAAATAGCTTTAAGCCCTATGACCACATGCTTAAATTGATCTACTTCTGGTCTAGCACAGAAATATAATTTTTTAGAGAAAGTTTTACATCTATAACTTTGCTTATTTAAGTAGATTACTGGCGTTTTAAGAATAAAAAAATTATCCTTGAAGCAAGGCTTCACTAAGTCTTTGTAAAAGGTTTAAAATTCAAATATTTACAATACTTGCTGCTTAAAGCAGGATATGCAAACATTTATTTTTAAAAATGTTATACAGAAAACAGAATACAAGGTTTCTTGAAGATCCCACAGGATCTCTATTGTCCCAAGCTGGCATAGGAACATTTATTCCACAAATGTCACTCAAGTTTGGAACATTTCATTTTGAAACATCCAAACCTAGTGTTGTTAGTGAAGATTTCTAAATCTAAAGAGAAAGAAAAAAGCTGCAGTGTGTTTATCTGCTCGTCACCCTTCCTTTTACAGTTACCCACATAACCAGAGGAAGGTTTTGAAGGTGCAACTTTTAACACAGGTAATACAGGTCGAACCGATCAAAGACCTACCACGGGTTCAGAAACTTCAGGCACAATGCTCCACTGTATTCTCCAACCCCTAGAAGTTATGGAAATAGTTAAAGAGAGCAAGTACTTCTTCGCCACCTGCCAACATGGATTATTTGTAAGAGGTTAAAAAGTAGTTTTCTGCAACAAGCACTTACGGCTTTAAAAAATAATTTTTATAAATCCCCAAACCAAAAAAGAACCCACAAAACAACATAAGCACAAGTGGCCAACCCCAGAGAGCTTTAAAGGTACATTGTACATTTTTAAAAAAAAATATATTAGCTAGGTAGATACTGCACAGAATCACTGCTTGCAGGTTTCACAACAGAAGTGAATTGTGTGCACAGAGTAAATAATCGGGACTATTTTTCTTGAGTTTTATGTGAACAAAATCATATCTACTTATTCTGGAGCCTGTTCGTTACTGGTAATTTTCAGACAGGTGCCAGGGAGTAAGCATTAACTAAGAAATCAGAAAATAATTTTAAAACATGCACTTTAAGATACTCCCCATCATTCTAAGCATTTTAAGGGGGAAAACACCATCAGCCTAAAATAGTATTTTTTAAAATTCCTTTCAATACAGAAAATATACTTTTTAAAAAAAGTGTGAATTTTTAGCAGAGACCAAATATACAAAGGGAAGATACTTTGAATAAAGTAGGCTGTGAGCCAAAGGCAAAACTGCAATTTTAGGCCTAGGTGAGAATTCCGTCCAGGGAAAAGCAACAGGCTTCAATATTTGAGGTGATGTTCTCCAACCTCTCTGAATACTGCATAATGTTTTTATTTTAGAAGTTTAGAGTGTTGAGGGATTTGTCTGAGAACATGCTAATAACTCAGGTCACAGGAAACAAAGATAACTCCTTAGAATAGTCAAAAGTTATAGAAATTGAGCAATGACATTAAGGATATTCAAGTTTGATGAATTTAACTCACAACATTAAGAAAAGGTAACAGTTTATGGCTGAGTGTAAGAATAATAAAACATCTTTCAAGCAAAGCATTACAAGAGTATAATCTATTATTTATGTAAATACCTGGCTATGAGGTAATTTAGGGACAACCTCAAAATTGCTAAAAATAAGAACATAGGAATGGCCCAGCCATGCCATACAGCATTCATGTAAATCTGCAGATTAAGAAGAAAAAAAAGAGAGGGGAAAAAAAAAGAGACGTGGATTACAAACCGGGTAACAGTGAGTTGTATGAAATACCATTTCTCACTCTACTGTTGGGTTCAGAATCGCATAACTCAGATCACAGAAGTCAATAAATCTTAGCCACCCCATGACAGACAACAGTACTGCATTCATGAACATAAAGTTGAAACTGTACGTTTTAACTAAACCTTGAGATGACTTTTAGATAGCGCCCAGCTGTTTGAGAGAGTATTTCCAACACTGCAATTACATGAAGGTGAAGAAAAAACAAAAAGTAAATCTTAAAAGACTGTGAATCTGCTACATGGCCATGATATGGTCTGACCTCATCTAGACCAGCTGAAGCAATGATATAGCACAAAAGTTACAGCAATTAGCCCTGTCCAGAGCAATGGGACACTGTATTATTTTCAGTCAACTAAATCCCAAATTTTTACTGAGCTTAAAAAGATTGCAGGAAAACAGGTCTTATTTTACCTAACAAATACAGACACAAAATGCTTCAAAAGGTGTTCCGTGGCCTTCCCAGCTTCAGAAAACACAGACTACAGGCTCCCTGCCAAGAGACATTAGGCTTTTTACTGAACCCAAAATGAAGAACTGCTCTGTCCCCGAGGTCCCAGAGCTTTCTGAACAACCACTGAAGTTCCTTCTTTCAGCTTTTAACTGAAGAATGTTTTTTTTCAGGACAAGTGATTGAAAAAAAGTCAGTAGATTAGGAGAAGGGACTGACACAGGGTACTGGGAAGGGTAAATCTGCTTCTCAATACTTCCTCAGCTGTGTTGGGCAAAGTAACATTCCATAAGGCTCTCTAACTTACAGAGAGGGATCATTTAATGAAAAGCTATGTGACATTTTCACCAAACAGGTTACATTGGGTTTGCATGGCAAGGTTTTTGTAGCGGGGAGGGCTACAGGAGTGGCTTCTGTGAGTGGAGAACAGTCTGACAGAGCCAGTGCCAGTCGGCTCCAAGATAGACCCAGTGCTGGCCAAGGCTGAGCCCATCGGTGACAGCGGTAGCACCTCTGTGATAACGGATTTAAGAAGTGGATTTAAAAAACTGTCCAAAAGCAACAGCAGCTGGAGGGAAAAGTGAGAATATGTGAAACAACTGCAGACACCAAGGCCAGTGATGAAGAAGGGGAAGGAGGTGCTCCAGGCACTGGAACGTGTTGAGGCAGGCTGTGCCCCTGCAGCCCATGGAAACTAACGGTGATGCAGACGTCCACCTGCAGCCCTGAAGAAGGTCACAACGAAGCAGGTTGCATTGGGTTGGCCTGGCCGGATTTCAGTGGCAGCAGGGGAGCTGCAGGGTGGCTTCTGCAAGAAGCTGCTAGAAGCTTCCTGAATTTGACAGAGCCAATGCCAGCCGGCTCCAAAGAGGGACCCGCCGCTGGCCAAGGCTGAGCCTATCAGTAAAGTGACAGGATAGGAACGCCTCTGTGAAAACATATTTAAGAACGGGGACAAAGAAGTGCGCCACAACAGCTGGCACAGAGATGGAGGAGTGAGAATCTGTGAAGACACCAAGGTCAGTGAAGAAAGAGGGGGGGAGGATGAGCTCCAGGTGTGGGAGCAGAGAGTCCCCTGGGTTGTGGT